AACTTAAAAACTAATTTAAAAAACTCAAATCATGGGGCACCTGGGTGGCTCAGTCAGTTAAGCATCCAGCCTCGGTTCAGATCATGATCTCACAGTTCGTGGGTTCGAGCCCCGGTCGGGCTCTGTGCTGACTGCCAGCTAGAGCCTGGAGCCTGTTTCAGATTCTGTATCTCCCTCGCTCTCTGACCCTCCCCTGCTCATGCTGTCTCTCTCTCTCTCTCTCTCTCTCAGAAATAAATAAAACATTAAAAACAAAAACAAAAACTCAAATCACTAGACTACACATACATCTTATAGAGAACAAGCTGATACATAGGTAAGTGAAAACATTAGAACACATACTCTTTTATCTATCTAGAAGGAAAAGAAGTGTATGCTCTATCTAAATAGTATTTCAGAGCAGCAGTGAAAGAGCAATAGTAGTGTTAAGGGTATATTTATTTTACAACCAAATGCATGAATTTCTGAAATAGGTAGGAGCGATAGAAGAAAGGGAGAAAATACTGGGAAACTAATCAAACTTTTTGAGCACTTATTGTTAAAAGGATGCTTTTCATAGCTATCCTCATGTAATTCATACACACATACACCGTCTTTTGAGATAACCCTCCCATTTTTTGGTTCACGTGACAAGTTAAAATGTGTTCAGACAAACCAAGTATTATCTTTAAGTCTCCATAGTTAGTTCTTTCCCATAGCATTGTGCATCGTAAAGTACTTTGTGGTTTAAGGGAAAATAATAAGTAATATAGGCCACGGTTATATTTAACTTTCTCTACCCTACTGTTTTTTGAATTAAAAATGCAAATATCCATGCCTGGTGTCTGTGAATGTTTAGAATGGTTCACTACATGTACAAAGAAAAAGTATAGGAATGACAACTTTAAAGGAAAGCTTTTATTCTTGTTCTTTCACCTGCTTATCCTTTCACATGTATGGATTATTCAGATAGGTTTTTCTTCACACTTATCATATAAGCAGAAAGAGGTCTATTCCATAGGTAACCTACTTTTTATGCCTCTTGCTGCATTTCAGTAACAAGTTTATTTAAAAAAATTTTTAATATTTTATTTATTTCTGAGAGAGAGAGAGAGACAGCACGAGCAGGGAAGGGTCAGAGAGAGAGGGAGACACAGTATCCAAAGCAGGCTCCAGGTCCTGAGCTAGCCATCTGCACAGGGCCTGATGCGGGGCTCAAACCCACAAACCGTGAGATCATGACCTGAGCTGAAGCCAGACGCTTAACCGACTGAGCCACCCAGGTACCCCTTCAGTAACAGTTTTGTAAAGAATATTTCAAAATCCACTGAAATCTCTACATGCCTTGCATAAACCTGTCATTTCTAATTTCTAATTAATTAAATTAATTTAAATTAAAAATTAAATTAATTATTTTAAATTACAAATTAATTAAATTAATTAATTCAATATTTTTATTGTTCTTAACTAAAAGGCAGATATAGAATTATATAATCTATCCTTATATCTAATTTTGATTTAATGATCTCTTAGTATATTATACCTTAGTTCATAATTTTTTTTTAATAATCTGTACTGAAAGATCATTTTGTTGGGCTGCCTTATTGTACAGTTGAGAAAACTGAGGTTCAGAAATAAAACAATGAATTGATGTCTGTCCCACATTGGTCTATAGAACATTTGCATCTAAATCACCTACAGTAATCTTTTGAAATGCAGATTTCCAAGTCTCAGTAAATTAGAACCTCAGGAATAACAGTCCAGTACCCTTTATTTTTTTCTTCCAAGTTTTTATTTAAATTCCAATTAACATACCATGTGATGCTAGTTTTCCATGTAGAATTTAGCAATTCATAACTCACATAAGACACTCAGTGCTTATCATGGCCGATGCCCTCCTTAATCTCCATCACCCATTTAACCCATTTCCCCTCACTCCTCCCCTCCATTAACCCTCAGTTTGTTTTCTATAGTTAGGAGTTTGTTTATGGTTTCCCTCTCTCTTCCTCCCCCACCCCATGTTCACCTGTACTTAAATTCCACATGAGTGGAATTAGATGGTATTTGACTTCCTCCATTTTGCATAATATTCTCTACCTTCATCCATGTCATTACAAATGGCAAGATTTCATTCTTTTTGATGACTGAGTAATATTCCATTGTGTGTGTTATATGTGTGTGTGTGTGTGTGTGTGTGTGTGTACATACACACATCATATCTTCTTTATCCATTCATCAATCACATCAGTTAATGGACACTTGTCTCTCTCCATAGTTTGGCTATTGCTGATAGTGCTGCTATAATCACTGAGGTGCATGGGCCCCTTCAAATCTGTATTTTTGTACCCTAGGAAATACTTAGTAGTCCAATTTCTGGATTATAGGGTAGTTATATATATGACTTTTTCAGGAACCTCCATCGTGTTTTCCAGAGTGGCTGTACCAGTTGCATTCCCACGAAGTGTGCATGAGGGTTCCCTCTTTATCCCCATCCTTACCAACACCTGTTGTTTACTGTGTTGTTGATTTTAGCCATTCTGACAGATGTGAGGTGATAACTCATTGTAGTTTTTATTTGTATTTCCCTGATGCTCAGTGATGTTGAAGATCTTTTCATGTGTCTGTTGGCCATCTGTATGTCTTCTTTGAAAAAACGCCTATTCATGTCTTCTGTCCATTTTTTAACTGGATTATTTTTTGGGGTGTTTGATAAGTTCTTTATAGATTTTGGATACTAACCCTTTATCAGATATATCATTTGCAAATATCTTCCCCCATTCTATAGGCTGCCTTTTAGTTTTGTTGATTATTTCCTTCACTGTGCAGAAGGTTTTTATCTCAGGTAGTACCAGTAGTTCATCTTTGCTTTTGTTTCCCTTGTCTCAGGAGACATATCTAGTAAGTTCAGTAGCCTTTATTTTAAGTAAAGTTCCCCTACCACGAAGTTCAAGAATCATTGGGTTAGTGTATTTCTATTCACCTCATAAAAGGCTCATCAGCATGCAAATGATCATCTCTATGATACAGTGTGGTTTAAGAGGGTTAAAAACTACATCCCCATGGTTTTGATACAGTGTGAAAAAGTAATCAAATGCATCAGTGGAGAATAATAATTGAATTCCCTCCACTTTGCACATACATTCTTAATACTTATAAAAACCCTGGTCTTTGTCATCCAATCTCTAAACTCAGAAACCCAAAGCATAGTATTTTGAAAAGTGCTTAAGTTTCTAGCATTGTCTTAAGAAATGATTTTTTTTTTCTGGGGCACCTGTGTGGCTCAGTTGGTTAAGCATTCAACTCCTGATTTTGGCTCAGGTCATGATCTCCTGGTTCATGAGTTTGAACACCGTGTTGAGCTCTGCACTGACAGCCTAGAGACTGCTTGGGATCCTCTCTCTTCCTTTCTCCCTGTCCCTCGCCCGCTTGCTCTCTTCCTCTCTCAAAAATAAATTAATTAAAAACTGTACTGATTAAAAAAATAATTTTTTTGACTACCTTACATATTCCAGGTAGGCGAGTTTTAACTATTTAACCATTCTAGGTGAAACATAGCCAGTATTATGAATATTAGTAGAACCTGAGAGGGAAGTAAATTAAGGTACAACTTCCCACATTTAGGTCTTCATTCATGCCACAAAACATTATCGCTTTCCTTCTGTGGACTGTCACACAAATCACAAGTCCTTAGGGGCCAAGATGTCTTGTTTGGGCACTAAAGCTTTTCTGTTGACACAACTTACAGCTCTTGGGCACCTAGGTGGCTCAGTTGGTTGAGTGTCTGACTCTTTTGGCTCAGGTCATGATCCCAGGGTTGTGGGATTGAGACTTGTGTAGTGCTCTGCACTGAGTGTGGAGTTTGCTTAAGATTTTTTCTCTTGGGGTACCTGGTTGGTTCAGTAGGTTAAGTGTCAGACTCTTGGCTTTGGCTCATGTTATCATCTCATAGTTTGTGATATCAAGCCCCATGTCGGGCTCTGTGCTGTCAGTGCAGAGCCTGCTTGGGATTTTCCCTCTCTCTGTCCTCCTCCCCTGCTCTCTCACTCTTTCTCAAAAAGAAACAAACATTCAAGAAAATACTGCCCCTCCCCGCTACTCATGAGCATTCTCTCTCTCAAATAAAAATTAAGAATTAAAAATAGGTAGAAAAAAACTTACAGCTCTTTATTAGGGGCTTATTATGAATTGTAGAGTATATCAAAAATATACCTACTTCTTGGAAGAGCACACTATTCTGGTATAATGGCATACTATTATATATATACACATGTGTGTGTGTAATTTATAGATTTTTTAAAAATGAAATCTTACTGAACAAACATGTGGACCTTAAAGCCTGTCTTGGGTTAGGGCCCTCTAAAAAGGCTTCATGAACATGTGAGTGGCCTTTGAATGAAGGCTGGGTTCTTAAAGGAAAAGAGACAGGAGTGTCTTATAGGAAAGGGGGCATGCATGTGAGAAGTGTAAAAAGATGTTTAATGCAGCAAAAAGAATATAAAGGTCCAGCTATAAGGAAATGGGCGAGTAAATAGAGAATGGGAAAAGGCACTGAAACATGAAAACAGATGAACTAAATTCGTATCTAAGAGCATGGAATAAGTAATAAAACAATGTTAAGAGAAAAATGTAAGTTTCAGGATGATGTATACTGTATTATGCTATTCATATGCTTTAAAAGCACAAACATAAACACATTAAAAAGGTTGGAGAAAGGCTTACTTAATTCTTTATAGTGTTTGCTTCGTAGTAGGTAGGAGACGAGAATAGGAATGAGGATTAAGTGAACTTCAGATTTCTGGATAATTCATTACTTGTTAAAAACCGCTTGAAACAGCGTAACAATGTTTGGTGGGCATTTCTTGAGATGTGCATGGACACTTTCTGATATTCTTTTTGGTCCTTTTTGTGGTAATGGACTTATTTTCTTTAAAAGAAGAAAAAAATGGAATTAGCAGTATCGGTGTTCATTTGATCAATCTGTGCGTGCGGTGGATACGGACTTTCATTGTTTTTCTTCGTAGGTTAATGTCACTCGGGAAGACTCATCAAGTGAAGACCCGCTCTTTCTTAGAACTTTAGGAAAAGGAGACTGGTTTGGAGAGAAAGCCTTGCAGGGGTGAGTAGACCACATGTGGCACAGTTTCTGTTTGAGCCTGACATGGATTCCTGTCTTCAATATTGAGCCCCTGGCAAAACAGGTTCTTTATTTAGTGTTTATCCTAATACCAGACACAGGCGCTTAATAATCATCTTATTTATTTCCAGATGGACTTGTGATGCATTTACATAGACTGTAAGATTAATGGATTAGCTTCCGTAATGCAACATTTTTATATTTATGGAAAGATTTCCCAGTGTGGCTCCTTAATTGCAATCTTGGTAAAGACTCTAAAAGGGAGGGAAAAGTCGCTGCTAAGCTTACTTCATGCAGTAGTTTTGCTCAGAATCCTAGGAATAGGATTGGTTGAGAATTTGGAAATCCCTGAACTAACTATACAAACCAAGGATCAGAAGGCCATGGAGACTGGCTGGGATTAATGTAGTGGTGGTCCTCGCTAGTGGTGGAGGTAATGCACGTAAACATCAATATATGGGCACCAAAGTCTGGACCCAGAGATGTATACTGCAAGGTCCCTGAAATTCTACTTCTAAAGTAAGGCCTTGAGAAGCAAACACTTGCGATTTCTTCCCACATACTATGGAAGAAAAACCCAGTTGATTTTGGACTACACATTTTATAGAATGCATGACAAATATGGCAGATATATTTGGGTACTCTATTCTTGTTTCCCAATATGGAACACATCTGAATTATCAGTTTATATAGATGAGACTTTTCAAAACTCAGTGCAAGGTGTGTGTGTGTGTGTGTGTGTGTGTGTGTACTAAATGCTTTTGACTTTCTTATTTTTTCTTTCTTGTATTTGGTTCATTTGATCCTTCTGAGTTCATCTGATGAGGATGTACTTGCCCATTCAGTTTTTTTTCCAACAGCAGAGTAAGAAGAAATACCATGTTCACTGTCCACACACAAAAGAATGCAGTAAACACTATCTTTTCAGTATAACGTGTACAGACACAGCATTGGTACTTGAATCTTTCTTTCCTTTGCTTATCCGTAGAGGATTCTAGAGAATAATGCCACCTGATTCCATTGGTCCAAGATTAAATGCCTGTATGAAAACTGTCGTTTCCAACAGAGCCAAAGAAACAGGAACGTTTTCAGTCGTTTCTGATTGAGATCACAAGTGGAACACCAGAAAAGAAAACATAACTGAAAATTGACCGATTTCCTTTTGTGATTTATTTTCACTGATTTTTGGTGCCTGTTAAGGAGAGCTTCAGTGGTGGTAACCCCTTCTTAGAATGTGTCTTAAGTGACCTTAAGGATACAGTTTATGGAAAAGTTATCAAGTTTTCTCTGAGGTAACATTTAATCGTATTCCATAAGGATACAGTTTATGGAAAAGTTATCAAGTTTTCTCTGAGGTAACATTTAATCGTATTCCATCTAGACTGAATTCATTCTAATGTATGGCTTTTCTTGTGAACTGTCTGGTGCCAAAGTTCTCTTTCATACATGTTCAGACCTCTGTATGCTGGCTCCACACTGCCCCCCCCCCCTCCATCGCCCTTCACTCCCTCATTCCCCCAGCAATTTCTTTCTTTCTTCTGCCCTTTGCCTTTACTTTCTCACTACTTAGCTTGGCTTTATCAGCCTCCACTAAGTGTCCTCTTAAATGTCAACAGAGATTTGCTATTTGCATCAGAGGATACTCTTTCTTTTCTGTCTTATGGTGACTTCACTTCTCAGCCATAGTTTTACACTGCTTACCACCCATTCCTTCTTCAAATTCTCTTCCTTTGGGACCCTTGTCACTGTTAGCACTTCTTAGAATTTCTCATTTGATTTCCATTCATCAATGTTTTGTTCTCACTTTTCTTTATTAAATGCATCTTGATAGACATCCAGAGCTATGTCTGCATGTCACCTTGATGAAAAGAAGTCCAAATACTTACATTCTGATTTGAGCTCAGTATCCGGCACTTTTCAGATACTCAACATGCATTTACTGAATGAATTAATGAATAAATGAATAGACAAAGAAAACAAATGAGCCTCTCTGCTTGGATCTGTTTGGCAGTAAAAAAAGGATTATGAACACTTGTCTGTGTGTGTGTGTGTGTGTGTAGGGGGTCAGGCTGGTGATGTAAATGAGTAAAGTAAGGTGCTTAAGTAGAAGTCCTTATGTACACAGTACAGTAGTTACTGAACACCAGCTCACTGCTATATTTTTAAGCAAAAACACTTAGGTTTTGAGAAAAATATATGAAATGTGAGTTTGTAACTTGGTGAAAAGACTCTGCAAGCAAAACAAACACAAACAAGAAAATATTTCTGCAAATGATTTGACCTGTGAGCTGCCATTTTGTGATTTCTATCACATATGTCTTCTTACAACACACTATCTAAATTCAAATGAAGGAAGCCAATTTAACCTTCTAATTTCCTTATTTTGTTCTTTTTAAAAAATGTTTTGATGTCCTATGTGTGTAACCTCTTTTTCATCCTGAGTATCTGTGTTCCCTTTTGATCTTTTCTTTGAATTTCAATGTTGCACAAAGAAATGTTTTGTTTCCCTCTAAAGACCTTAAAAATTTATGTTACTTTGAGATAGAAAGTCTTCTGGGCACTGTGTGTATCCTTTGGGGTAATAGCTCTGCTTCTTTGCACATCATATGATTTTTACATTTGGAAGAAAGATTATATAGTCAGCAATCTCTGCATATCAATAACACAGCTTTTCAGACCATTGTCTTCACTCATGTAAAATTTATACATACTGGGAATCATTGCTTTATTTCCCTGAGGATGTTCAGCAGACCATTAAAATATTGGTAATTTTTTTTTTAATTTCTGAGAGAGAGACAGAGAGAGAGAGAGAGTGAGAGACAGCATGAACAGGGGAGGGTCAGAGAGAGAGGGAGACACAGGATATGAAACAGGCTCCAGGCTCTGAGCTGGCTGTCAGCACAGAACCCAACGCGGGGCTCGAACCCACATACTGTGAGATCATGACCTGAGCTGAAGTCAGACGCTTAACCGACTGAGCCACCCAGGTGCCCCAAAATATTGGTAATTTTGACATGAATCCTTGACCATCCTTTTTAAGGTTTAAAGCGCCTGACATGAGTATTGAGTAAGCCCATGGTAGAACATGGAATGACAGAGCTGCAGTGTGACCTTGGTCCCTGAGTCCAGAACTCCACTGTAGAGCTCTGCCTCTAGAAGTAATAAGCTCCATTGCTTTGTTCTCTGGGGACGGTCAAGTCATAGATCTCGGTGTCTTATAATCTATATCATCATCATCCATTAACCACATCAACCAATAGCATCTCGTTACCAGAAAGATTGAATACATGGATTGCTGTCTCTTTTGTTGGTTGACATGAAGCAAATTATTCTGTATTCCTTGGCTCAGTCACTAGGTTTTTTTTTGTTTTTTGTTTTTTTTTGTTTTTTGGTATTTTTTGCTGTGATAATAGGTTTTCCACACCAGAGAGAGGGCAAAATTTTGTACTCTTGACAGAAGTACTCTTTCTTTATGTGTATGAAAACTACACTTATGTTTGAGAGAAATTGCTGCAGATGTGGTCCGGTAACTCCTCAATCAGTCCATCCCACTCTGACTCACTGTGGCTTCAGGCTCTACACCTGACTTGAAACCACACAGAATCTACACAGGCATCAAATGGTGTCATAGTCTAAGCCACACCCATGCCTTTCAGAGGTAATAGGAAGAAACCTAAGACTTGCTGGACTGATGGGGTGAGCTCCCACCTGTACCCTGCACCCTGGCATTTGAGTCATCAGCATGCGGTTAAGAGTTCCAGCTAAGAAGTCAGTGGGTCTGGGTTAGGATCCATTTTGTCATTGACAGATCACGAGACCCTAAGAGGTCCTCCTGTAATCAGAAATGGAGTTGATGATTACACTTAACTTTTTTTTTTTTTCTGGATGTTGAAAGGAATAATCAAGGGGATTGTTATAAAGCATTTGAGTGAGTGCCTAGAATTTAAATGACGCTCAAAGAAAGTTAGCTGCTGTCATCACTGCCACCATCTTGTTTTAACTATCATTAGCACAGCATCCCTGTCCTCTTCCTTATTCCAGAAATGCTCTGTTACTTCTTGGCCAAAATTAGAGTCCTTGATATAATTGACATAGCATTAGATGTGGGGTCAACCACCATTCACTGACTACATAACTCTGAGCAAGCCAGTTAGCCTCTCTAGGTCTCTGTTTCTGAATTTGTAAACTGAGACAGATGAACTAGATGATCTCTAACTTTCCTTAGGTCACAGCCTCTGATTCCCTTGGGATTTGGCCTCTTTACAGCTGGAACAGACCACTGGATGCCAAATGCAGCCCTGTGTCACCTTGTTAAATGGTGGCATTTAAAAGCAGGGCACTGCTGGAGGGCCCTGCCCTCCAGGAACTTCCTAACTGTTCCCTGTCTTCTGAGCACCTATGCCACTTACTAGGTCTGTCCTTGTTGATGGAAAAAGAATAAGCCATTTCTGTATTCCCCAGATTCTCCCCTTGAGGACCATGATCTTGGGAAGGTGAATGAGCATTTCTCAACCTGCTTTCTCCTACTTTCTCTTTTAATTAATAAAATAATAGCATATGAAAGGATAGAATACTGGGTATTGGATTTTAATGCTTTGTCATATTTGAGTCTGATCATTATTCATGTATTTATTTGGAAATAAAACACTGAGGTACAATTCAAGGCTCTTGGTTCCCTCTTCATTCTTTCCCTCCTACCATCATCTCTTGAGGATGGCCGTGTACACCATCACTGCTCATGTGTCTATAATTTATTATGTATGTATCATATCTGTACATGTACTTAAGCTTATTTGTCTTTAAATTGTACACATCTGAAATTTCTTTTTCTTACTGCATCAATATGTCCTTTTTCTTTCTTTTCCTTCTGTCATGCTGATTGCATTTGTGTCATCCCTTTGTTTAGAAATTTTACCTTTTTCTATTCTTTAATGATTAGTCTTTAGATTTGAAATAGTATAGCTAATGTGTCATGTTAACCA